AGCGGCAGAGCCGTGCAGTTCCCAGGCCCATCAGCAGAGGTCTGCTCTCGCACGCGTCAGCCCCTCGGCAGGCGCCTCACCCTGCCACAAACCCGCCCGCGTTCCTCCTCCTAAAAAGACTGAGAGCCAAAAACTGGGCTATTTGCCAGAGTTTTTACCCTGCGCACAGATATGGACTAGAGATTTCAACAATACTAAACACAACTGTGAAATTACCTTGGCAATAAGGTTTATTATCATTTCCTTTCATGATTTCTAGACCAAGTTTTCCTTGAATTTGTTCCACGTATCTTTGGGCCAGTTGTAACTGCATAGAGGTTGCTTATTTTCTGTAAGGACTTTACTTCATGGTCTGTACCATAAGGAAAGCTTAACTCTAAAATACTCCTCATGTAGTATTTTAGAGATCTCCCTGTTACATTTTTATTTGTAATTTCCTGAGTCTGCAATTTTAAATAATTCTATCTTCTTACAGACAGGCAAAAGCTTTTTTAGTAAAAATATCCAGAAAAATAAAGTTACATTATGGAACGAAAAAAGCATTTCTTGGTTTGCAAACACATTTCTTGCATTTCAATTGTAATTCAATAGATGGGACAGGAAAATCCACGATCATAATTTTTCGCCATGGAGGGATCACTCCTAACTGGGTTTTATGTCCAGGAGACATGATCCATTGAACAATGACAATTTCTGGAAACTCATTACAGACAGCTGAGAAAATTATTGTATGTGCAAAGGGGAAACAGTTTTGAGGAACAGCCTTCATTGGCTGATTCAACTGGTTTCATTTGAGCCCCAACACTTCAAACCAAATAAACAGAACTCTTTCTCTACTTGGATACATACCCTGGCTCTTACTTGATAGTTATGGGCTGAACACATATGCCACAGCATCAATTACACTGCTGAAATTTCAGTTGTAAACACACGTACTAAGAGTTTCCTAAGCATACTGTCCCCTGCCTTAGCTTGGCACTTGTGAGCAAAATTTGATGATGAATAACTTGACACATACATTTCCCGCATTAAACACCAGGGAAATTCTAGGCTTATCCGGAGGACAGCGTTGGAAAACTCCAGCCTGACAGACCAGGAAAGAAATACAGGTAAGACATCTCCAAGTCATCAGAGGTGGTGCTTGTTTTGGGTGCTCATCCACCACCATTTGAAGTCATCAGGGTTCATGCCAGCCCTGTCTGCCCTTGGGCAGGAGCAGTTTATACATGCCAAATGCACCCTCCCACACGTGCTAAAAGGAGAAGTTCTTACACTCTTAGGAAGTCAAATTTATTCCAGTGGAACTAAATAAAGCCTGAGATTGGCACAAGGCTGCTTAAGGAGGATACAAGGAGTAAAGTACAAGAGAGGACAACTTACAGTCTGACTTAAAAATGTATTATTTTAACATTTGTGTAAAGGTCTCTAAAAACACTTTGAAGCAGAAAAATGTGCAGGGTAGTTACCATAACTTCATTTCCTTGCCTGCTTATAAGATGATCTGAAAAGCTAGGCCTAAAATTAGGTCTACTCTATGCTTAAAGAATTCATCAGCATAATTAAAGCTGAAAATCCTCCAGTGCAAATGCAGTAATATCTAAGTGCATCTACTGACATAGCTTATTCCAGTCCAATGGAGCAGCAGAAGCTTTCCCAGAACCACGTGTCCTGTAGCAGCCAAATAATACCTATCCAAAAGGCTTTTACTGTCTCTAAACAAAAACCAATAAATAAAATACATTTTTTCTAACATAGTTAAGGTGTTCACACTTTAAACGTACAGACAAGACTCCTAAATTTGAGGTCAGAGTTACACATGGTTCGAAGAATCAGTGATTTCCACTGGTTAATGAAGAGCTGGATCAGGTCTTTCAGCCAGACAGACCTCCATCATAGCTCTGCTATTCCAAACTAAATCTTACAAATCTCGAGTGAAATATCATTACCTGCTGACCCAGTCATATGTAAATCCCTACTAAATCTCAGGCCATTCAGAGTTATTCATAAAGGCATAGGAAACTAGTTTCCTTACACTTCCCTTAGAGTTTTTGGAGGGGGAAAGAGAGAATCCTACCTCAGCCTGTGTAAGAGCTTTGCCTTAAATGACCTATACATGGATTTGTGTAGGGACCAGTCAGAACAGTAGCCCTGGAGCATCAATACAAATTATATATTGCAACGCTTCATCTCTGCTGCTCCAGGAGCGTGTGATATTAAACTACACAGCCCAAGGCAGAGCCCACTGAGTGCCTGTCGCATCAGCCCAACATCCAACATCTTTGGTGCTGAACTGCCCCCGCAGGTCTGGCTGCACTGAAATCCTTAACAAAGCTGTTGATTGTCTGAGCCAAATGCTAGGCCCAGTCCTCTGGAGGGCTAGCTGCCCTTGCCGATCCTCCGGTCGTTACAGAAATAAAGGCAGACACTGCATTTAAACAATGCCAAGGATCGAACTCGCAGCGGTCCTGCCCATTTGTGTAGCCCGGCACACTCCTCATGAAGTGAGGCTCACCAGCTTACTCGTGTTACAGCAGAATATGCTCTGGTGTTTCTCATACAGTAGCAGAAATGCATTGCAGTGAGCAGAAATATGGGGAACAGAGGTGCTTTTTTTATGTGTGCACAAGCCTATACTCAACAGGGAAGCACAGCTTGGCTAAGCAGTACTGCTGGTGCGGACATCACCGATGCCAGGCAGACCGGTCACAGCTCTGACATCACGGACTACCGGTACGACTAGAAGACTTGGTCCAGAATGGCACCAATTTATATTTAGCGAAGGAAGCTGAAGATACTGCTGCTGTAGGGATTTCTACTGCTGCTACAGGACTCTGGGCTGAATCAGCAGAGCTGAAATGAGATGGACTTCAGAACTGGATTACAGAGTCAGGCGTATAAGGACAGACACTCCTGCCCACCTTCCCTTCGGTGTCAGGGAGACCACTCCTAGCAGCTAGAGAAAAGGCCATCTGTGATAACAGCACTAGGTCTGACATAGGTGTAAAGGTGAAGAGTACAACTTTACACTTCATTTATTATCATCGTTTAGAACAAAACTTTCAGAAATGGAACAGCATATGATATAGGAAGTAGCCACACGCAAAATGGGCCTAAGCTACCACTGAGCACATATATATGGTCCGTCAGATGCTCCCTGACCAACTGGCAGCAGGTGATCCAGAACAGGATAAGGTTAGGCTTTCTTCTGCGCTTGAGAAACACACACTATACAAAATGCTTTTAAACATGTTTTGACTTGAAGTCTGAACACCACTTGCCTTTGAGCAAAGAGTTTACCCAGAGCTCCAGTTCACCCTTTAAATGTCACCATACAGAACCATTAGCAATAATTACAGAAAACTCAGAATCGGCTTAAAACAGGTGCAAGCAAAGAGAACAGAGCTTATTGGTGAGCAAGCCCTGCATATTCATCCAAGGTACAAACCAAAACTCTACTGTAAATGATCAACTTACCTTCTCTGTGCTTCCATCTCATCTGGAGATGGCCCATTCTGGACCTGGCGCTGGGCAGCTGGACCTACCGGAAAAAAGAGAGAATGCTATGAGGAAGGCAACCATGGCTGACCTTTTCAAAAAGCAGTGCCACTCAGATTAATTGCTTCTTCATCTTACTGTGAGAGAAAAACCTCAAGCGTTACTGTCCTCTCTTTCCTTCTTTTTTTTTAAAAAAAACCAAACTATTTTTTCCTATTAGACAAATCATCACCTCCTGTAAATTTTTAGTCTCACTGGGAGAATCCGATGGCTAAATGTGTGAGCAGATTTGTCCAGAAACTTGGCATCATGATGGCTGTCGACTACTTACTAATCCCTTGGCGACAGCAAAGACCCACAGTGTTGCAAAAGATGTCCTGTTATCCAACAAGAGCAAATCAGAATTAAACACTTATCAACCCAAACATGTCACTCACAGATTTTTAAGGCTATTTCTCTCCATTTTCTTCATGTGTTTCTGCCAGGCAAAATGTCATCTGAAAACGAATTTAGAAAGTACGACTGCGTGAAAACAGGAAAGATGGCAGAAATGCATCTCAGTCAGAAATTCCAGAGTACTGACTGATCCTGATGAAATTGTGCACATTCTTGGAATGTGTTTAAGGACTAACATTTGCAGAAAGGGAACCCAGCAATTTCAGAAAATTGGGCCCATGTATTTCAGTTTTGGGTATCCCAAAAATGGAGCCAGTGACAAGCACTGAGTCAAAAGTTCTGACATTTAAAAATATCTTAGGATCGTGCACGCAATGAAGACAGTTCACTTCTTTAATGTTTCATGACTGACAACCTAATATTGTTTGTCACAGGCCTTTGGCAAACTATTTAGACAGAAATGCCACATTTTGTAAAGATCACATGAAACAATGAATGGGGGGGGGAGGGTGATTTTTTTTGGAAGCAAGCCTCAGGATAAAAATCAGAAGGTATTTGGGAAGCTCAGAGCAGGAGGCTCATATGTAAGGAGTTTAAGGGGCATACGAGATGCCATGTTACTGCGTGAATGCTTGTACTGTGCACCTTCAACACTGGAGTGAAAGAAGGCCAGAGCTACCCTGTGCAGCAGCTACAGCGTGAATTTAAACTTATGAACACAGCAGGAAGGCAGGTAAGGTCCCATCCCCAACCTGTGGAACTGGACCAGTTCCAGTTAGCGGGATTGTCGGTTTGGACCGGGTCTCTGGTGTGTGCAGGTAACACCCACGTCCTGTGCACACCCACAGACCTGGGAGATACTCCAATTAGCAGACTGCTGGGTGAAAGACACTCAAGACTTAAGTCAGTCCCACCTTCCTCACCGGGTAATAAATTCCGTGCTCATCACTGCATGAGATTCCATCACGAGAAGAATTCCCTTGTGTAAAGACTCAGCACCAAACAGAGGCGAGCACTCTGCCTGGGAAGAGCACTGAAAGCAGGCACCAGCGCAAACAAAGGCCAGAGGATGAGGCAGCAGAAACAACAATTCTTCCCTGGCAATAAATCACGTCAAAGTATACAGAAGGCTCCAGTGATGCCATCTTAACCTGGTACTTTGGCGTGAATCTTCTCCTGGGGCCAAATGCCTGGAAAAATAAGGTAGTGTGACCACTTTGACTAATGCCAGACATGCAGAAGGAATCAAAGACCAGGTTATCTATGCCACACAAAGAAAACCAACTCCTTTTTCCTATGGGCACTGTTACGTACTGGCTGTGTAGGTTTAAAACCAAACAAATACAGCCAAATCAATTGGGAAAGCAGCCTAAAGAAAACCGTTTAAGGCAACATTATAAAACACATCTGGAAATGAGGAATGTTGATTTTTATCACCTGGAGCTTTCTCAAGCTGATCTTGCATAGCAGGCAGGTAAAGGAAGAAGCATATGAATCACCAAACAAGTCCATCTCAATTTTCAGCACAAAGGAGTCCTAGTAAATTCATTACGTCTACTTATATTTTCATGTATGCTTGCAGGATTAAGACCACACTTGAAACTCAATACAGAGTTTTTGGTTGCAATACATGGTTGCAGAATGAACACTGGCTTTAAAAAAATCTGTCTGTGATACAGAAAATACCTAATATATTCCCAGGGCTGACCACAAGTCAGGTCAGACAATGCTATTGGAAAAACTTTCCCTCACTTCATCAAAATGACTTAATTTTACTCCCTTATTCAGAGATGAGCTCCATGCATTAACAGCCTCTGGTTTTTTTCTTTTTTACATTAAGAGCCCCAGCTGATTGTTTCAGTTGGCAGCATTCTCTTTTCATTCTGACTCGGCCATAGTGTGAAATGTCCTTAAAACAAAGCACATAACACTCCTAATTATGTTTTGAAAATGCCAGGTTTTTTTCATAGTTTCTATAGAAATGTCCTCCTCTTCTGGCAGACAAAAACAAGAGAAAAGATGAGAAGGAAAGAAGCTACTTCAGACCTGACTCAGTAAATAATCAACGTTCAAAACCTCTTTGCATAAGTGGTGACGAATTTGCACGTATTTTTATTTGCACATTAACTTAAAAAGCCAGACAACTTTTCAGATGCACAGGAGACACGACTGCACAGCCCTCAACATGCCATAATTCTCTCTCCGATACCTTGAGACATGTAACAATTAAGGTTTTCTGAGTAATTCCTCTCTTTCTACAGGTTTAGATTTCTTAGTTGAATAAACACACTGCAGCAAAACTTCATTCATTTAAATCTTCTCCAAACTTGTTCTTGGGGGTTGGAACTAGATGACCTTTAAGGTCCCTTCCAACCTGAACCATTCTGTGAGTCTACAATTCTATTTTACTAGTGACCAGTAGTGAGACATTAAAGAAGTGAACTGTCTTCACTCCATACCCAATTTAAGATATTTTTCACGTCCTCTTCTGCGCATTAGTCTTGTTCAGCACAATATTCTTCTCTAAGTGCTTTAGAAGTGAAGTACCCTAACAAAGCTGGGAGTGAAGAAAAAGGCAAGCATGAACAGAAGAGGAGGATGTAGCTCTAAGAGGGAGCTTGTCCTCGCTCCTGCGTAAAGCAAGGGGAGTACAAGTTGCTAAGACAATGCTATCTGAGGAAAAGCCTAGGCCAGCTGCAGAGGTCAGTCGCAGCCTATGGGAACAGGGATACCTGTTTTGTGTTCCTGCAGAGGCTTGTATTGACTGGAAGTGGTTGGAAAAGAGTTTGAGGAAAGTCGTACGTGGAGTTGTCCCGGGATAACAGGGTGTTCAGGGCAGTCACACCTTTTGCTGCCAGTGGGGTTGCAGCTCTTTTTGCTACCAGTGGGGAAACACACTGGTTCTGTTTGGCACTGGTCGGTGATTCACATGAGTTACAACCATAAGAAATAATCCCCTCTGGCATCCTGCTTGTGATCTTATTCAGCCTGATCATTTTTCTGTAGAAATATGAAAACTTAATTTGCAAACCCTAAAGAAAAAGCTCAGAGGCACCCTGTTGCGGCAGCCAAGATTTTGTCTGAGGGAGGTCAACACACTTAAAAGTCCAACTGAAAGTCTGTTCATTGTCAGAAACCCAAATTTTGCTAGATTTCCCCCCCTCCCAATCCAGAGTTCATGGCAGATCAGGCACACCTCCATCGGGTGTCAAGTGTGCAAACAACTTCAGTCTCTGCAATGGTGGAGCTTCTTGTTTCTGTTATCCTCGAGCTTGGTTTTAGCATGCTCATCCAAAGCTGGTACGGATACCAAAGGCAGAGATTGTTTTTACGCCTGGTTCCGTAAGTGTGTGCTCTACACTGCGCAGAGAGCAGACTCCTATTTGACTGGGAGATTTTTTAATTCAAGTGGGTTTCTAGGTTTAACCCTTCTCCACATTTTTAGATATTTCTCAGACCTGAGCAGGCGTGAACAGTAAGTGCTCTTGGTGGTTGCATCCTCATGCTTCTTGAACTGCCTCTGACCCTGACAGCCTTTGGGAACAGCCGCACCAAGAAGAGCGCTTCTCAGCACAATAACCAGGAGAGATGGTTTTGCTACTGACCCGTTTGCAGCTTCACAGCCATTGCAACCTACAGTTTTAGCAACTAATTAACGCAGGAGATACACTGTGAATACCCGTGTTTCCTTGCTTTGTTGCTTTGTAATAATTAACTATGTTTTTTATAAGCATCTTGTGATTCAGCTCAAGGCAGATTTTGGGAGCACACGGATGTTTTCCATGTTTGCTTTTTCTCCTCCCGCTCAGCCACCCCAGCACCTGCTCTGCCCTTCCCCAGCTGTCCCTGAAGAGGGTGATGGGGAACTCCCGGCACAGGGCACTGCTTCGCGGTGGGTACGATGGCTTCCGCGTGCCGGTGGCTGCTCCAGAACCACTGCGCCCTGCTACTGCTCGGAGATGTCCACGTCCAGACCAATGGCCAGCCACAACACAGGACCAAAGCTGCGACTGATGGAAAACCCGAGCTCCATGTTCCACTCTGGCACAGCTGCGGTGGGAAGGCAAAAGCAAGCAGGAACTGCTCTTCCCCTTCGGCAGCCCCAAGCAGAGTTTCCTTTTCCTCTTATGCTACAACTGCAAGCACCACTGACTGCCTACACTCAAAAAACCAGGCGCATTTCCCTAAGCAGCCAGGATTTTGTGCTTCTTCAATACAGAAGGTCCAATCTAACCCACCTACAGATCTTTTATTCATTACAGAGTCTGGAAGCAGCTCTCAGGTGGAGTTTCTGTAGGCCCTATAGACTCCATGGCGCTTATGGACCAGTGTGATCAATGTGGTGGGCTAAGGAAAGGGCCCAGAATCAGAGCTGAATAAGAAATATATCTGGGCTTTAAATCCACGAGACTGAAAATTTTTGTCCTGCATGTGAACAAAACGTGATGATTTTGTGTGAAAAAACCCAGCAGACTATGGGAGGAAAAGAGGCAAGAGACAGACAGACAGCTCTCCCTCCTTGCTTGATGCTTTCAGCCTGTACTTGGATTGCAGAAAGCTCTGGTTCAGGCACCAGGTCTGACCTGTCATCATTTATGTCCTGGGAATGTGATATAAAACATGCTTATCCTGACCAGAACGGAAGAA